ATTCAGAGTGTTTGGAAATTATCCTATAACCTTTGTAAAAAAAAATGGGGGCAAAAACTACAGTATTGTTGGCATTGTTGTAAGCACACAAAGACGTGTAAAGTGATAAAACATCTGTTTTTTTCTTAAATGGAGGTGTTCATTGCTGATGACCAAAGCTTTTAATTAACAGCGCCTGACTGCTAATTACATATAGATTTCTCAAACAAGTCCAACTGGGGTTTTTAATAATTACATCAACATGCAGTTAATCAGTGAGTTATTTGAGTATGAAAGCATTTAACTCCCACAGACCTGTTTTACTTTGGATTATGATTTTTTTAATAATTGCACTTAACAAAACTCTAATTTAGCTTTGCATAAAAATATCTATAATTAACCGTCTGTCTAGTACAAACAAATGCATTGGGACATAGAACATTTCACCTTTCCCCAGGTGTGCGTCAGTACTCATAACAGACCTCTGCTGTGCTCTCCTCTGGCAGGGTCAGACCTGCAGACTGAAGGACAGAGACGGCCCTCGGCTTGGCACAGAGCTGGCTCTCGACCTCTGGGGGATTATAATAAGCTGGGTCTACGCATCACACAATAACCCACATTGACTGCTTGTAGTACACCAATCTGTGCTGCCAACTGGAAGAAACAACCACTTACTGCTAGACGGGGCGCATGCCTGCAGAAAGGGCTCGTGTCTTGAGGCGAAAACAAGCGTTTAAATGTATGTTCAACAAACAGGATCTTACTTTTCCTGCTGAACTCTAGAACATTGTAGAATATCGAATGGGAAAACTGCAGGATTGGTAAAAGCCAGGGATGAAATGAGAAATAAAAGCTGTTTTGGAAATTTGCTTATAAATGAACCAGATTGGGCCATTTCTAGTCAAAGCTTTTGCTAGTTGCTAGTTTATAGAATATRTCTCCAAACAATCACCTCACCACAGCCTTTGTGTAAAACTCATTCAGATAGACAAACAGAAGCTCAAGTACAGCTGCTGTACAGATCATACAGCAGTGATTTGAACAGATCATTATGTAAGAGAAGTCAGACCCATCGTTTGTCAAACATTGCCTCTCACACACATAGAATTACACATACTAGTCCAGGGATGGTGGAGTTTATTACAAAGCAAAATAGACAGACGTTATTGTAGAATATTACCCAATCCAACAGCAGTGGCACAGCCAGATGTTTGGTTGACTATTATAGTAATTCTGTTCTCATTAAATCGCATCAAATCTTAAAAACAAAGTGTCCAAATTAAACAAAAATAAWACAAAAACCCTGCTCTCATGTTCAGTCATGCACAGCCCCTAGCACAGGTCTTGTCTGGTCTTTGGGTGAACACTGGGTCTCATTCTGGGGGGTTCTAGTKGTTCTGCTTCACAGTGCCTGTTGCTCTGACCTCTGCTCTTTGTCTCAGCCATGTCAATTGCATAATAAGGACCTATAGAATCTATTATACAGTGGGGAGCGAAAGTTTGGGCAGCCTTGTTAATTTTCCTGATTTWCCTTTATAAATCATTGATTGTTTGGATTAAAAAAATCAGTTAAATATATCATATAGGGGACAAACACAGTGATATTTAAGTGAAATAAAGTTTATATGATTTACAGAAAGTGTGCAATAATTGGTTAAACAAAATTAGGCAGGTGCATATATGTGGGCACCAGCGTCTTGGGGGTCACTGGTGCCCAGGAGCCACTGTGTGAGAGACGGGGTACGTTCTGGACAGGTCGCAAGTCCATCACAGATATCTATATATGTACAAGTGTTTTATAAATAGTTATTAATATTTCTTTTAATTGAGTACCTCACATGTGGTTTATGTGAGATCAAAGAATTTTTAAAGTAAAAGTGCTTGAGATATAAACTAAAAAAAAAAAAATCATGACGACGATGAGGAAGAGAAAGCTGCATTTCCTCTTATGGATCGTTTTGTTCATGATGACTGAACAGCTTTCAGCTTGACTGAGTTTAGAATCACATTCTAGCAAAACTTGTCTAAAACAGGCACAGTTTTCATTTTTTTTTTTTCTTAATCAGCGCAAACAACTGTAAAGTCTTTAATTAACTCATATCTGGCCTCTACTGATGAGTTCTAATGTGAACAAGTTAGGTGAAGTGATAACTATTTTGATATGACTGATTGTTTGGGTCGGTTGAAGAGATTATCCTGCTATAATCTTTGTGCATTACCTGTTGTGATTGTTGTAATGTTACTGTCCTTTTAAATACTTCTTGTTGAGTGTTGTGTGTTAGTAAATATGTTTTTACTGTGATACAGTAGATTTTATTGTATTTACTGTACTTATTGTTGATGAATGAATGTTCTTTTCCTGCTTACTGTAACATGGGGTTTATTTAAGATACCTTAGACCTTAATTTGTGGATGCCTGCAGCAGGCTTTCTGCAACCTGCCCCCTCATCATGTCACAAGACAGTGCAGGGAGGCGGTAGCTGCCTAAAGTCTTACTCACTGTGAAAGTCAAACAGAAAAACATTTGTTACGTTTCTCCAAATCAWCTATTTTAAGCTCTGACTGGAGAAAAGATTCGACAAACATTTACTGCAACGTCTGCATTTTTTTTTACTCCCTAATTTGACTCAGGACTCGTGTTGCAGAACTTTTGTTTTTTACTAGCCAGAYGATTTCACAATGGACTTTGTTTCGATGACCAAATATTTGTTCAATCTGACAGACATCTCTGTGGCTTACATTTAAGGGGGTCATCAATTCAGTGCTACAGTTTCTACAAACTTTACTTTTCCCCTCCAACTGAAAAATCCCTCTAAAAAAAGTATGACTGCCTGCCACTGAAGTGGCAGCAACAATCAGTCTTTTTCTCCAACTCAAACAGATGCTATGAACTTATGCTGCCTTATCATTAATCCACAGAAATAAACATTTTACTCCATAACCTAACAGTTGTACCCAGCTGCTGTTTATGATCTTTGATTTAAGAAATGTACATGAAAGAAACTGGTTTTCACTGTGAACTTCCTAAAAGGTCCATAATGTATTCTGATTAGCGTGTCAGAGCATTGAGTTGACTTAAGAGATCACCAAGATATAAGTGTTGACTTTCTTTTGATTATTTTACACCTATAATCAGACTAACAGCATCTTTATTGCTTACAAGTTTCTTCTGGAGAGATTATTTTATGGAAGTTATCAGATATTTCTTACATTTGTTACTCTCTGCATCGCTTTCAGTTTCATATTCTGTATAATTTACTCATATTCAACAAGTTTCCATTCACAATAAGAGCAATGCTTTAAATGAAAGTACCTGTAGGCATTTTTGGATGCAGGCCTGGGGTCGAACTTAAAGAAGATAATACACATGGATGTACTGGAAACAGACAACAGGGTTGTCACTCTGTCCACATCTGTCTTCAAATATCAGTCAAATATCAGTCATATCTAAAGGCAAAAGAAGGAGAGATGTGTTATTATCTGTATTTAGAGTTTAAAAGTTTCAAATGGTTATTTAAGGAGCACGACTTGTACTAATTAATACAAATTATTACACGAGGGACGAATCAAATTTTATACTTTTTACGCCAATGATCTGAATGATTGTATACGCAGGCTCCACTCCTAAAACTTTATTATGTAGCAAGAGAACCCGACTGTACATTCAGCAAAACATACATGATGACGTGCATTAATCACCTTAGGTAGGTCTTCTTACCTAATGAAATCACACAGGTTAATGGCATCTTGTGAGAGTCTAGAGTTCTGCTAAAAGCTGAACACTTACACTATTCAGTCAATCTGTGACGACAGTAACAACAAATCTGCTTTTCCACCTCCTGTTTAGCTAACAGTTACGGTATAGCATACTTACAAGTGACAGAGGAAGAAATCCAACAAAGTTTAGCTACTTGAACTTAGCAAAACAGAAATATACGCTATTTTGGCTGCTTGTTTGCCGATTATCTGTACATGTGTAATGTAAAGTAGCCTACTAGTTGTACACTCGTTGTTGACGATTGAATGAAAGGAAGTGCTTACATACTGTTACCTCGATTTGTTCTTTCGTCCGTGTCGCTCGATTCACAAACCTGCTATTTCTCCCTGAGCTCCCAATAACTCCGCCCACATCGGCGCATTCAATACTTAAAACGAGCGCACGTTGAGTTGGGCTTGGTTTGATGCGATTGGCTGCTACAAAGCGGAAATCCCAAGTTAGATCCGTAAACAGAAATGGCCAAACTTCCGGTTCTCCAAAATAAAAGCATAGTGTTGTGAATAAATTATGAAAAATAACTCAAAAAATTGCTATTTAAGTTAGGAATAAATTACAAATAATGGCTTTAAAATAAAAAATGGGGAAATACTAGATATTACCAAGGAAAATCATTAGCATACACCGTGTATTGTTGGATTTAAACAGCAATTTCATAAAAAATATTTCCATTAAAATATAAAATATATTTTCTAGATATAGGAATAATTAGAAACTCAATAAAAAAACTGCTGTAGTGTAATGTTAGTGATGGGGCGGAGACACTTGCCGTGACCGACAGCTTCTAGCACTTTTTTTTTGATGAGAGGGATAAAGGCATGCTCTGCTTTTTATTCAGCAGCACAACGCCGCAGATGCTATTAACAACACTCGCTTTGTAGACAACTTTCGAACCAGTGAAGTTTTCGCAGTTTTCGCATGTGACATTCGACCGARGAGTAACACGAAACTGGCAAGTATACCATTGGAGATTTTTAAGGTTGTGAAGAGCAGCAGACTGACCCTGCAGCAGCCAAGTTGCATCCCAAATATCGGCATTCATCTGAGGCTGGGAGTACTGCTCATCACAGGGGAGACACACACACTTGGTCTGCGACGGCGACGATGGCCAGAAGATACTGAGGTAGTTCACACACTGCTTCAGCTTCTCACACACGATTCTTTTAGGTCGATTCGAGTGACAAGTTTTAGCTTGTGCTGTTGCTCTGCATGAGGTGGGTGTGACAGATAAAAAGAGATGGGAATCACGTAATAACGTCGTAAAACAGCTCTAAAGGCTTTAGAGAAAATGATGTATAAAATATATTATCATAACGCCTGCTTTATTTACAACACTTTATATAAAAATGACACAAATGTGCATGTTTTACGGCATTAAACACGTTCATACATAGGCTGACWGGTTATTTGTTGTTCGGTCTTTGCTCTAATGACTGCTGAAGGGAGCGCGTGCCGTCAATCATCGTTCTACTCGATTGTTTTCTCCCCTCCTGATAGTGAGTGAGTTACCATGGAGAGTCTTCCGGTTTCCCTCCTGTAATGACCTTATTTGGAGAAGGGGCAGCTTTCCTGATTGATGTAGTTGTTTTGTTAATGGCGCTGTAGTATGCACGTCCCCCGTGGGAGAAAACGGTGGAACGAGCAAAAAGCTTTAAAACAGTTATTTACCGAGACCTCGGATGGAGTTCTCAGTAAACCTTGATTGGTCCTGGTCAGCTTTTTCACACCCCGCTACCCTCTAATGGCCTCAGGATGTGACAAGACGCAATTAAAGCAATTAACTGCGTGAGCACGTGCAGTCAGATTGCGTTTGCTTGTTGCACTGGAAAATACAACATGCAGAAGCTATGAGAGTCTGAACTAAGAGGCTTATGTACGCCTGGTTTTGTTCTRTGTTTTGACGTTAAGCCAGTTTATATTAAATATGACTAAAATATGTATAACAATACTTACAAATATAAGTGTTACTTAGAAAGGGAGTATGTTGTCCTAAACTGGCACTGATAAATGCATCAGGCTATCAAATGCCACTTGTTAATGTAGACTAGGTGAAGAGTGAAAACATTAACAAAGATGCAGCTGCAGAAATACAAAAAGTTATGAGAATAGAGGCAAGTAATTTTATTTAAAACTTTTAGTTAGTATTTTTATGCATCATTTCCAGTGCCTCTTTACTCCTGTCAGAGAAGTTGTTTCTTGATTATWAAGTGTATGCAAATACAACCCTATATACAGTATATCAGCATATCTTGTTAGTGCCTGAATACTTCCAGCAGTTAATGTAGGATCATACATGAAATGATCTTTTGCCTCAGTTAGGCCTCCCTCAGATGTTTCTATGTTTATACATTCACAGTTTGACAGAACACATTGTGGGCTCWTTTGCAGTCAGGAGGTGAACAATTTTGAACACAAAATATTTGCAGAGCAGACATGATCAGAATCTCTGACTGTGCTGAAAATGGAGAAATGCTCAGTAACCTGAGGTAAACATTAGGACTAAAGTTGAATACTAATGTCAAAAAAACACACTTGGGTCTATTTCATACTATGTTTATGATGGTTTTTGAGTAAAACAATTTGATACTAAAACAATCATACATGCATACACACACAAATACATACATACATACACTACATACATACATACATACATACATACATACATACATACATACATACA